TTCTTTCACTGCCCTCATTGGACATCAGTTACCTCACTCTGATTTCAAACATAGGTAGTCACTAGCAGTATGAAGGGACCACCCTTCTTTCAAGAGGAGGTTGAGGCAATGTAGCAGTCAGAATACAGTCATTGCCATTAATCAAATGTGCATCAGTGATGATTCACTGCCAAGCACTTGGTCCATCTAGATTGTGAGTGGTGTAAGAGCAGCTGTCATATGATTTCCTTGAAAGTTTGCATTTGCACTCCCCCAAGGAGGGCCTGCTTCACAGTCTGAGCAGCACAAAAGGAGGCTTCATTGGCCAAGGCACCAATTTAATTCAACATAATATTTTAGCATATGTTTTCCTAATGAGTCTCCAAAATGAAAATATAACAAAATAAATATGCAATCTCCCAAGCAGCAACAGCAATAAATCCATGTTAAGCTCTTGAAACACCAAGTCCCAGGTCCCCTGGCCATATCAGCTTTGAAACTCAAGGGTGAACTGCTTTCATGCTTTTATAAAAGTTTCATTAAGCTACCTAGCACCAAAGATTGCTCATTTTTAATTTGCTGGCTAGCAATCCTATGAAGCGAAAATGAGTGCCTAAGCCATGTCCCAAAGCCTCCAGTGTACCTACATTGTCTTTCTTTACTGGAGGACCATTAATGAACTTTGATGAGGGTTTGCAATCCTATGTATCTTTACTTGGAAGTTAGACCTCCTGTGTTCAAAGGGTAGTACTCTGTCATTCATGTGTGTAGCACTCCAGCTTTAAGAAGCAATTCTAGACATTCTTATGACGGAATAAGCTTCACTGCACCCAGCAGCACTCACTCACAATTCGACATGTATAGGTTTTTGTGGCAAGTCTTTTAACATGGCTTGGTGCAGATACTTACTGTGGCCAAAATTTCTCTTTGGTTCTTGAACTGGCCCATGCATACATCCCACCACTGTCATAACAAAATATGCAACTTGGGCTTTTCAGTGCTGCAAAGAAGTAGCCCTAAATAGCATACTGTTTACTCCTTTAACATGTTATGAATATTAGCATGTTATGAACATTAGCATGTTATGAACATTATGATTCATTCCTTTATTACAGGATTGGGAGCTTCAGGGGATCTGAAGACTACTTTCCGCAAATGCAGACACATACAGGTGAACATTCAGATCATGGCCCTACCAGTGGCATTGCCATAACACCAGTGTTGCACCAGGGCCGGTGCAGCAGCAAAAAACCCAGCAGTTTGCCAGAGGCTCCAGCCTCTGTGACAGACGCTTAAGAAGGACACACAGCATCTTTTCAATTGAAATGTCTCTGTTTTAGCTTCCATCATAGTTTGCTACTGAAATTCAGCAGCAAGCCACCAGGGGCTTTTGCTGCCACCATGTCACTAAGTCTGGCACCAAGGAATGGACTAAAGGCTATGGGGGTAGCATGAAACATGTGGGCTGTACATTGCCCACCACTGCGTTATGGAGTTGTTAAGGCATTAAAGTGTCTGTTAGCCACCTGCCCAAGCTCTGGAATGGCAGAATCCTTAATAGTTCAAATGCATTTGGAAAGTTTCTGGATATTCAAAATCAGTACAAAGGCTTCTGAATAGAACAAGCAAGTTATCTTTCCCAGAAATATCATGTTCATTTATTAATGGATAAATCCATGGGAGCATGCAGTGCCCCTTTGACTAACAAAAGTATTAAGGGAGGAAAAAGAAGTGTATTTCTGTCTCTACTTTCTTGGCATCGAGAAACAGATTTCTGCAGACAATCCATCTGTCTATTCATGTTCCAACAGTTTTGCTTGCACTTCATTCAATATTGTGAGCTGTTCACTTCAATTAAAGCCTTCATATGTTTTTGCACATTTTTTGTTTTGTGGGCTTAGTTGGTAGAAGTGTGAAGATGATAGAAAGTGATGCTCGTGCTGTCTCATTCATTGCTCAGAAGCCCATAAAGCCTACTGTGGATTACAGAATTTGATTTAGCCTATCAATTTTCTACATGGACTAACAACACTAAGCATCAGTAAAAAGAAAGGGCTTTTCATATACAAAAAGAAACAGCAATATGATACAGCACAAGAAACTGATTTCTTCGCTTATGTGTATAAGTAAGGTGCTTGAAATTCATGAACAAGTACTCAGGCTATACTTATATATTGAATATATTCCCCTTCCAGTATTGCCCGGTTGCCTAGTTCAGCAGCAGCTGCATTCTACTCTTTGAACCTGCCATTTATCCCAAGTACTGGAAATCTTTTGCAATATTGTATTTATTATGTTAAGTGGAGTTGTTGCAAGACAAGAGCGCTGAAACAGCGCCTGAAAATAGGGATTACTCAACACCACAAATTGGACCTTAATCCAGGCCTTTCTGCAATGAATAAGCAAATGTAGATTTAAAAAAAAATGTCACCGTAGGATTTTTCACATGACGATGATTGCTTCCTGTTCTTTGGCTAGTCATGGAATGCACAGTGATGTGACCTGTGCCTGGATCGCATATTCTTGCAGCTGAGAATGCTTGGTAAATGCCAAAGAAGCTAGCTATTGATGAGATTGATTACATGCAGATGCTAAGCCTCCTGAAACATTGGCACAGCCAGCAGGATTCCTTCTTTAGTTGAACCCCCTGACTTCAAAATGCTGTGATGGTACCACTACTAAACTTTTCAGTTTCTCTTATGCACTTTTATCCATGAGATAAGATCCATACTCTTATATGAGTTCATATATTAATTGGAAAATACTTTAAAGTATTTTGAGTCCATAATGTAAAGAACAGTATCATTAGTTCAATGAGATCTAAAACCTCTTCTTTCATTGACAGAATTCATTCCTGCAAACTTATCAGGGCAAACTGAAAGCAGTTGTAAGTTTGTAAAGTGTTTTACCTTTTGGGTCAATTGTCCAAAAAGGAGGGGGAATCAAGAAACCTGCTTGTTCAAGAGTAAATCTGGGCAAGATCCTAAGTAAGGCTGTTGCCGAATTTAGTGATGAATAACACAGAGGAGAGGAAATGTGCTATTGTTGTGATAGCTCTTCTAATTATTTTTGGAAGACAGTGGGGACATGATTGCCCTACAATTTGGGAGTGAGGCAATAGCTGTGGCCTGTTGAGTTCATTAAATGCCCCTCTACTGCCCCTCCCCCAATTATTCATACAGTAGTCAAAGCCCTTCTGATGCAAAAGCAGTGGGAAATTAAGTTTATCTGTATAACTGGGTGAAAATAAGAAAAGGCTTGCAGTTTAAATGAGCTATTGTAAATTATTTAGTAAGCAGCACTCCTGAAACAAATTGTATGCAAAAGTTTGGGCAGATTTGCAGTAGAAAGCTGTGACTAAGCCCCATCTCCCTCAATGAAGATTCATTTTCCTGGGGATTTCTTGCTTTCTGCCTATGGGGAGAGAGCAGCAGCACATCTGAAGGCTCTCCCCAGCATGCATTTAATCCAATATGAATGAATGCTCAAGGAGAAACACTTCCCACTCAAAATTCATTACATACTTGAGTTCAACCAGGGAGCAGTGGTTTGTGACCTTCCTCTTTTTCTGAGGGAACAGCATGCTTAAAGCACCAGTCAGGGACAAATGAGATGCAATGTGGGTTCACCCAGCATAACTGTTTTTCTAAAGTTAAAAGTGAACATGTATGGCTGAGTGAAATCAGGATTTTACTGCCAGGAGAAAAAGGCTTTAATTCTTTCCTTCTCCATGTTCGCAATTCAAATAGGATGCACCTCCCCAGAACTGGCACCATGACTTGCATTATATTTTGTAATCTGTCCAGAGAGCCATTTTGGCTAAGGGGTGGAATATAAAATTAATACAGAAATAAAATAATAAATAGATTTGTAATGGGAGGAATCCCTTACTCCCCTGCCCCTTGTGGTTCAGATTTGGTTAGCACCCCTGCCCTGCATGCCATTTATTACTTAAAACGAAAGGCAAACAAAACAAAACAACCCAGCAACATAGCGATGCCTGAGTAGATTATATGTCACATCTAGTTTGACCCTCAAGAGAAGAGAAGAGAAGAGAAGAGAAGAGAAGAGAAGAGAAGAGAAGAGAAGAGAAGAGAAGAGAAGAGAAGAGAAACGCAATGCACGCAACACAACTTTGGCATGTACTAGCTTTGCAGCCTCAATCACAATTACAGCTAATAATCCAAATTCATCTTTTGTGATTTGCATTATTATACAGTTCGTGCAAATAGCAAAAGGCATGAAGAAGAAATAAATGTTGACATAAACTTTGATCCAAAACAAAACAGAAGAAATGTTAGTCTTTTTGTTTTTGAGTAAACAAATTCTGTCCTCTGCATGGAATTACCTGTTTACCATTTGCTAAACAGAAAGAAGAAAGAGATGGTCAGAATACACATTTAACTTTAAGTTCCTTCAAATGGAAATGTTAAATAAAGCTGCATTTGAATGGGTCCTATTGCAAAGCTTCTGTGTGGTCGCTTTCAATACAGTAACACATCAAGGTGTGGATACACATGTGCTCCTGCCTTACAATGCAGAGTCAGAGCACTGGGTATCCGGTTTCATTACTCGTGTGCACCCTGAGCATTTGGAAACAGGCCTGTAATTTCCATTCTGCATGACAGACTTTCATTATCCACACACAAGGGAATTCTCCACATTTTCCATGCATAGAAAGCAAAACCATTAATCTGGTTTTCTTTACTGTGCATAGCAAGACGTAGTAAGCAATTCCCTAAAACAAAGCAATTATATTATTCATTACATGGAACCATTTCATGGTCTAGACAAATGATATTTGAAGCATATTCCAATTCTATGAGGTGTCTGTGATTTAATTTGTATCCCATTTCCTTGCAGAACAATAATTGTTCTAAATACTATGATGAGTTAGTGGTTTTGATTTAACAAACTTTTATAGGATGAAAAGTTCTATGCTGGGTATAAAATAGGTACCTTTCCTTTTAAATTAATAGCAGGCAAATTACACACAAACTTTTTTTATTTTTGGTACAATTTCATAAAATTGCAGTCTTCTTCATTCAAAAATCCTTCCAGAAAAAAGCTATTAGAGTGTCTTTTGTCTGAACGCAGCTTTTCTTATATCAAAGTTGCTCATCCTTTTCTCAAGCTCTTATTACAAACAGAACTTCAATAAACTGAATATAAATTTTCAACATACACTTTGAAATACTCACTCATGTTGGGATCTTGTGTGCTTTGTGTCTGTGTTTGGGTGTGTGCTTTCATTTACTTATTTTTAAGAAGTCCATCCATGTGATAACCCTGTATTGTAAATAAATTTATTCTTTTTGTTCACACATGTGTTGAATTAGTGAATGGTGGTGTGTCAATGTTACTCTTATTTTCTTTAACTTCATTGAGAGGTGAGCTCATGCCAATCTGGCATTTGAACACTTGCTTATAGGCCTTCCTAAAATTCTCTGAAAGAAAGGCGTAAATAATAGGATTCACAGAAGAATTGCTATAAGCCAGGCAATGCGCTGTCACTCTGAAGAGAAATGAAGCTTGAGTCAAGGGGAAGTCTCCAAATTCAGCCCAGAGGTGCACAATGTGATGTGGTAGCCAGGATATTCCAAAAACCACTACGACCACTAAGACCGTTTGTGCCGTCTAAGATAGAAAAGGTAAATCACAGATTATTCATTAAAGAAATGAATACCCTGGTCGACAATGCAGACTTGAAAAGCATTGTTAATCCACATGAAAAATAATGAAAATTGGAAACATATGTCTAAGTGCAGCCAATTCTCATGAGTGATATTCAAATATACCTAGTGGTGGCTGGTACAATTTTAACAAACTGCACGAGGATCTCTGGATTACCTAATAAATGCACTGTGTCACATTAAAAAGGTGTTTTTTAGAAGTTTGCTAAGAGGCAAATTGGACTTGAAATGTCTATCAGAAATAAGTCCATCAAGTTCAGTATGGTCTTCTGCCGGGAAAACTCAGTAAGATATATTCTGAGTACCCATGCATAAGATTGCATTATAATAGACTCATCTGCAAATCCAAACTTTCATTCTCAGTGAGATACAACATGCAGCTTCAACAACTGAGATGTCCCAATTCCTCCTGCCTGACAGGGCTACTCTGGGGCAAGAGGTTTGGCTTGGCAACACTCCCTTGTTCCCAAGACAGATCCAGAGAGGAATGGGCCTCATCCCATCCAGAGCACCTCTCTGCAGGAGAAGGCAGGCATTACCCCACTGGGTTCCTGGGCATGAGTCCTTCTTGGATAGTGAGGACTCTCTGACCACCATGGCAAGCTGACTCATGATCATGGCTGTCAAAGACAGGAGACTCGTTCCTGTTGTGTCCTCTGGGATGCTACCAGGACAAACTAGATAGAAGGTAGCATGGGAACAAAGCATGAACAACACCGGGTGTCTGTTGGGACCATCAGGAGTGCTTGACTCTGAACAGCAACCCATCTCGGTGATTTACTTTACATTTTAAAACATGGGGGATCAACCATTGTGCATTTGTTTCTTCATTCTAGCTGTCCCAGGAAAGCCTGAAACCATCAAAGCAGAAATTAAAGCACACGTTCCATTTTAAGTCTATCACTAAATGCAGACTCCATGGTTAGGATCAGAGTCCATTTTCTTCCTTTGTCCCAACTTTATTTTGTTAATCAGCTAGTCTAACGAAGAATTCTGGAGAACAAAGAAGCTTGCACACTGTTTGTGATATTACATTGGCCTAATAAAGGTACTACAGTAAAATAGATTTTGGAATGAGAAAAGCAATTTACCTTCTTCTTGGATGCTTCTGATTTCTTTGATATGTTCTTCAGTTTTTTATGCAGATGACTGAGGACCTGAGAAGATAAATTCGTACGTTTTAGTTTATTTGTAAATTCCAGAGTCTGTAATATACACACAGCTGGTTGATCTATTAATAACTTTAATAGTTATAGTTTCTAACCTGATAGGCACAGTACCTGTGGGAAAACATATACAGTGAAGTCAATAAAGGAGAATTCTAAACTCACTCCTTCAGAAGTAACATTCTGACTTTTCTAGATATTTGCATTCCAAATTGGATTTAATCTAATACTCTAAGCAAATGGAACACATGATGTAGGTCTGTTCTCCTCATCCATCTGCCAGATGAAAGCAGGTAGGAATGACACCCCGGGCAATGGCTACATACATCAGCTTTAACATGTGGTTACTTCTCAATGAATGAATGGTTTGGATCCCATAACTAGACCATTTCCATGCTGGCTCCACACAGTTTTGATGGTAGCTGACTATGGTAAGAGTTGTTTCTAACCACATAATTCAGTATTACATGTCTAATTTGAAGAAAAATCTAATTAAGTTTAATGGGGCTTACTCTTGAGTAAATATAATATGAGCAGTCAACACACTTTAGACCACAGTATGACACCAATGCCAGATAGAAAGCTTTTTTTTACACAGTCCCAGTGAATGGAAAGAAACTTGATTAATTATATAAAATATGTTAGTCTGTCAACATGCTTATTAGTATTTGATATTACTTTTTAGCCAAAAATAAATCAACAATATATTACTTAGTCCAAATATTGCTTTTGATATTTTCTTTTTAAAAATTCTCCATTATTTCCACTATCCAACTTTAGGCCTGCAGTCTTATACTCACTTTCCTGGGAATAAGTCTCACTGAACTCAAAGGAACATATTCCCAATTATGTAGATGTAGGTACTTATTAGGTATCTGACAAAAACCCCCTAAATGAATTCATATATGTAAATACTAGCTTGACAAGTTTTTACAATCAGAATAATTTATGACTGCATTTTAAGGTACCATATTTTACTGAACTGACTTATAAATATTCATAATATCCTAAGAGTAGAATCTGACATTGCATCTCCCAGAAATTTGAAAACAGCAATTAAACCCAGGTGCCAGCCATAGCAGCCAGAATAAACCAGCATGAATGTAGTCACTCAGAGACTAAGCTCTCTGTTCCTTTTTGAACAAATAGCTCATTGTGTTATGATTGATAATGATGTGGCACATATGGGGGAAAGGGGCATTAACTGAGGTAAATGTGCTGCAGTATAGAACACACAAAGCTTATGTTAAGAATATAGTTATTGAAGGAATCACCATCTATTCCTTATATGTAGATCTGTCAAAAACCAATTTATTGATGAAAAATAATCATATTTTGAGTGGTATAGCTAAGATCATTTATACATGGTCATAAAGGAGGGAAATGTGGCCCCTAAGCTAATGTGGCCCTTGGAATACAGGAAATATGGTCTATGATACTCCATGTAAGCAGATGTGTGTAGAGCTTTACACAGAATGTTTACTTCAATTTTACAGGGGTGTGTTGTGAATTTAATGACTTTTTTGTTTGGTCTTTGAAGCCCAAATCCAGATGAGAAGGATGCTATGCTTGCTCTTGTTCTGTGTTGCTCTATTGTTTCATTAGAGAAAACCTCTTGCAAGTTGACCTATATCAGCTGTTGCTGGCAGGATGGATTGAACAGTGAGCAAAAGCCCTCCTCTAATACTTATGGCTATTTGTTTCATATGCCAGGACAACGTGGAAGATATATGCTGACTAACAAAAATTGTGAAAGTATAGAGGATAAATTAAGCACAATTTCTGCCTCTGTACAACATCATCAATGACAATGGGATACATGGGTTAAGATATCTGCCCTGTATTCCAATTTTCTGACTTTGCAGAGCTTAAGCCTTAACTTTGGTCTTAAACCAGCAAGGGTTTAACGGTTGAAATTCCCTACTTTTTCAAAACGACCTTTATAATTACAATGCTGGATATCCCCGCCTCTTGCCGAAGTACTTGAATTGGCTTTCCTGAAGCTTACCTGTATGCTTCATTATATTCATAATGGTATTATGAATATTTCATTTGTGGCAATCATGATTTTCTTTCAAGGATCAGGATACTAACATTTGACTGAGAATTTCCATGGACAGAGAAGACTTATCAGTGCAGACAGTTGCTTTCCACAGGCAGAAAGCCATGATAATGGAAGAGAGGTGTGGATCTAAGGAGCTCTTCCCCTTTACCTTCCTCAGATGTGGAGCTTACACATGATAAGAAAGACCAGAGAGGGTTAGTTTCTTACAACAATCTCTATGGGTATACACAGAGTGTGAACACATATTCAGGGTACCATACATGTTAAAAAAAAGTATGATGCGATCCTTGTATGGACTTTTGTCAACACATGGAAAGGGAAAGTAAGGCCTGAGGCTTTGTGCTGCATTTCTTCTTTCAGAAAGATGTTGTGAGGCCTTGGTTAAGAACATAAGAAGAGCTATACTGGATCAGACCAACAGTCCATCACTCTATTCACACAGCGGCAAGCCAGCCGCCACAGGATCCCTCATTCAAGATGGGTACAGGCACTCTACCTACCGCAGCTCCTCAACAACTTGTGCATGCAAACACGGAGGTAGCACCTAGCCAACAAGACTAGTAGCCATTGATAACCTTCTGCTCCCTGAATTTGTGCACCAACCCCCCCCCCTTTTAAAGCCATCCAAATTGCTGGCCATCACAACCTTCTGTGACAATGGATTTGGTAGTGCTATGTGAATAAGTACTTCTTTTTATCTGTCCTAAATCTCCCACACAGACTGGGAGAAGCTTCCTCCATGGTAACTCATATGGAGCAGGACCTTAGAGTGGTGGATAGAAGTCTTTACTCTTTTGCCATATGCCTGCAGTCAACTTTACAACTGGATCCTCTATGGCAGTGTAATATGGGGCCTGATCCAGACTGAGACTACAGCAGTGGAGGAAATGAAAATCTCCTTATCCACCCATGCTAGGGACCCAATCCATGCAGTAGCATATGGTCTCACCTTGTGAGGACATTTTGCATAACTATAGGAATAGGCACTGCACATAAAAGCCAACTGCGATATAATTCTGAAAAATTTGGAGTTCCAGGACCCTAACTTGAAAATTAAATAGAATACAAAGGTGTCCATTTTCCACACTTTTAACTTGCTGTACTTGTGGCAATTTGTATCAGATCAGTTTGATATAGTGCATAAATGAAGGTCTCATCAGGTAGATCAGGGATGTCACGTGTTGTTATTAGCTGGATGGGTCTCAATTTTATATGAAATAGAAGTTTGAGGCATCAAGTGATGGGATATATTATTATTATTATTATTATTATTATTATTATTATTATTATTATTATTATTCCCTTGCATGTGGATGGGTGTGTGCATGCATGCCATCTGAGGATAACTTTGCAAGGATCTAATAAGGTGGACCTTAGTGCAGAAAAGTTAATGTCACATTACCAGGCAGAGCAGGAAAAATTTTTACTTGAGACCCTGGAAAGCTGCTGCTAGTCAGTGTCTGCAATTCTGGGCTGTATTTTAGCCTTATAATGCACAACTTTATGCATGTTTAGAAAGAAAAAAATCCTATGGCTGCCCAGGGTATACTGGGAGTTTTAGGACTTATTTCTGTCAAACCATACTTAAGCTTGTAACCTTAAAGAGTCACTAGATTTGGTTATTTTTGTGCAGTAGACTTCCTCTGGCTGCCCCTCTAAAAATACGGCACATCTGTTTTAGTCATGATATAGACTTGGTTTCATAGATTCTTGGTTTCATAGATTCTGGTATCTTGGTTTCATAGATTCTGGACACAATATTGCATTTTAAGTCATTATAAAATGCAGTATGGTATTTGACTTATCTGATTACATAGACCTCCCCAAGATTGTACTTAAAAGCATCATCAATCATTTATTTGTTGTCTAAATAATCTTATTCTAGATGTAGGGATAAACTATATCTAGTAGTAGTGGTCTAGATGGTTTATATAACTATTTTTTCTTCATGTATCATTTTATAGACCTCTTGTGTTTTCACTAGCTTTACCTATAACGGTACTTTTTATCATAAGGTTTCAGAAATTTCTGGAAATTCACATAACTTTTTCAGTAAATTAAAATCATTTTAGTAAACTGAAAGTTCCTTGCAAAATTGTCCCTACCAGTTCAAACTGAAAGATCCTCTTGCAAATTTAGAGTTTAAAAACAACACTGAGACTGGAAGCATATGAATACATTTTAAACTACAGTCATAGGCAGTTATCTTACTGCATTTGGTTTTAGCATTTTTAATAATGCTGTATGAGATTATGCATCTTATCAGGCCAGACCTTTTTCAGACAAAGTAGAGCAGCTGCATCAAACAGGTTACACCAGAGGTCATATGATACATGACAGAAAGCACCTCCTACAGTCAACATCTGAGACCTTCCTCCGAGTGGCACATCCAAGGGATGCCCAGCGGGTGGCAACAAGGCAGAGGTCCCTCTCTGGGAGGTCTCCTGTTTATGGAATGATCACGCCACTGAAGCCCTCCTGCCAACAGCTGAGCTATATTTTTCCAGCACCAGGTTTAGTTTGCCGTCTTCTTCCAGGGATTTAATGGCACTTAAGGATATTAAATGTAATGCCACATCATTTATGCCAGCTGGTTTTAACAGATCTAGTTGTACAACATTATTTCCGCTGTTCCATTATGTGGATTTTTTGATGTTGCGTGTTGGAAATATTTTAATAGGTTTTAATTGTATTGTGTTTTATGAATTAATGTGAACCACCCAGCGAGCTCTGGCTATTCAGCACTGTAGAACTGAATGAATGGAAGCATTACTTTGGTGTCAGAAAAGGAAAGCTTTTTTAAAATTTTATTTTTCCATTTTAACTCCCAGAAAGATGATTGTCTTGGATTTTCTGTCTCTAGTTATGAAATATATTGGCCAGCCTTGGGCATTATTCTATTGGATAAAAGTGTTGTTTGCTGTTC